CTCTCTTCCTTTTTGATCCCTTTCTTTCTTCCCTCTCTCTGTTATCTAAAAGTTTCTAATAGCAGGTGTAGTTATCCACTCACTTTCCTAAGTACCATTATATATATTAGCTGAAACAGTCATGTGATGACCACCATTCTGCCTCATAAGGTCTGCTTAAGCAGAAACCCAGAGCACCCCATTGACAAAAACTGTGAGAAGCCCTTAGATCCCCTCTGATAGGCCCTAAGTTCCATGCTGCTGTTAGTATAAGGGTGCAATATGTTTTGTTTAAGGTGCCTGCTTCTCTCTGTCATAATTCACAAGACTGTATATCATCTCCAGAATGTGTCTCCTTCCCAACGCATCCATGAGCTCACCCAACCTTTTACTGCTTTCCTCCAAAATTTACTCCCAGTGATGTGACAAATTTGGGAGTTGGAATCAGCAAACTCTTCTTCATCTTCAAAAAACATTCTTTCACCCTTTTGCCTCAATTGAAACCTAGCCATCTTCTAAAGATGCCACTCTTTTTAAAGCCTCTTTAAGTCACACCCTCAAACCTTAAGGTGTCTCCTATGTTCCCATGCCCGATGTAATGTTCCTTAAGAAAACCTCCCACTCCTCTGACACCATCAGGCTGACTACCTGCTCTTCCTACTTCAAGTGTCTTGTTTACATAGTAGGCATGGCTCTTCACTCCTTCAATGCCATAGAAACTGGCTCACTGTTTTCTCCTCCATTCTGATTCTATTATGATTCTTATCAAGGTGGAAAATTCATTCAAAACCTTAACTACTGTGAATAAATACAGACCATTTAAAGGATATTTATCCAAACTTAGTATAGCAAGGGAATCAACCATCATCACTTCACTGTAGCACAGACTTGAAGACAGACAGATAGGAAAACTTTATAGTGGAAAAAAGAGAAGTCTCCAGGTATAAAAAGATTAGATGCCATTGGCAAGGGTAAGCTGGAGGCAGGCTAACTAAAAGTGAGTTTTTATGATTGGTTATTGGTGCATATTTGGCTTTCTCTGGTTCTAAGTTAGAAATTGGCAGAAAAGTTAGAGACATTTGAGAAAATGAGGAATAAAGTAATTAATAAATACTGGATGTTTGGGGCTGATTGCTTTGGGGTTACTGTTTGGTTTTCTTAGACTGGTTACTGTTGATTGTGACCCAGAGTTCTATTTTTCCATGTGGTCTGACCATTGTCTGTTTATATATCTAGTCTCTCATTGCTCACTCATCTTCAAGTCCTCTCTAGAAGAATACTTGACATGAAGAAGACCTTCAATAAATGTTAGTTGTTGTTGTAATTATTATGATCAGGTGTGTTTTTCTCCTCATCATAAAATATCACTCATTGATGAAGTCATAGCATTGTAATTATTACTGATATGCTGGGGTTTCAGTCATAGTACTGTTTGCCACCCAGAAAGCCAATTACTGAGACAACAAGTATTGCCAGGAAAGAAGGCTTTTGATGTGGGTGATATCAGCAAAGGATAACAGGAGATTCCTTCTTAAATCTATCTCCCCATTTCACTGAAGTCAGGAGATTATAAGTGGGACAGGAATGTAGAAAACAGGAATTGGGGAGGGGGAGGAAAGAGGAATTGGTAAACAAGAGGAGTCTGACATTTTGTTGTCTGCTTGCTGTGATCTGGTGAGTTTCAATTTTTTGATATATAGGTGTGACGGGTGGTTTCCTGAGAAAGGAATTCAAGTAAAATAAATGTACGTTTTAAGTTTTAAGACCAGAAGGGTCAATTTCTATGTCTATTGCAAAAAAAAAATAAAAAATAAAAATAAAAGTAAAACTGTAACCATTAGTTCTATTGAGAAGTTGGGTCAGTTTCAAAATTGTCATTACTACCAACCTTCAAAACCATTAGCTCAAGTATGCTACTTTCAGACCATAATTCAATTCTTTCCATTCACTTGGTCAAGAACCCTTTCCATGTGTCATTAAACCCATTGCTATGTGCATTTTCCTAACATACATAAGTGTCACCCTCCTATTTACTTTCTTATGCACCTGAAAATGAGCTATTCTTCTTTGTCATTAGTTCTTTTAAAATACTTTTAATGCCTATGACCTTTCTTAATATTCAGGTACAAACCCAACCTTGAATGAACCCAGGCATCATACTTGTTCATGCTGTCTTACTAGGTATAGCCAAGGCATATGCTGATCTATTCTCCACAACACAGCTGAAATTACTGGGAAGATGATGAAGTTCAGGTTTTGGAGTCTTCACTTACTTGAGTCCCTTCCAAGTCTCCAAAAGGAGTCCTAGCAATGTGTTTTCATAGACTTGTGTTTTTGTAAGATTTTCAAAATTAAGATATTTTAACTTAAATTAGTTCAGATAGCCCTTTCTACATTAAATTCCTCTTCGTCACAGGTGCTTTGGAGTTGAATAAGAATGGACTAACTACAGCATTTTTCAGATCTAGCTAAGGGGAAGTTGAGTTGGACATATATTTGATTTGGTTTAATAGGATATGATTGGTGTAGTTCATAAACACTTCCATATAAAATTATTACTAGACATCTGTGTTGACTTACCCAGTGTTGCAGCACACAGGATCCAGACCTTAGATCACACTGTGATATGAACCAGTCTGAAGACATGAGGAGAAAGTGAGAAGGAGGAGGAGATGTAGGGTTTGAAGTGACAGTGCTATAAAAGCTAGTCTGTGAAAATTTGTTCAAATATTAGAGCTCATACATGAAACAAAGTTTCTAAGAAATTGCCCACATTTGCCAATAATTCTAAACATTTATACACACCAATAATTAGCTGTGAAGCTGAAAGAATACGCTACCCTACAACATATATATGAGGAGGGACCCCCCCAAATGGAATTTATTTATTTAAATAATTGTGTATTTATTCTTACATGTTCTTTACAGTCACCTTCAATGTATGCTTCATTTGATGTAACTCTATGGAGATGCTGTTTCACTGCTCAAAAACAGGTTTTGGACTCATCAATTTTGACACCTTTTAGTGTTTCTGCCATTTTTTTTTCACCTCTTCCACATAGGTGAAACATTTTCCTTTGAGGACTTTTGTCATCCAGGGAAACAAGTCATTTGGGACAAGATTGGGTGAATAGGGAGGGTGGGGCATGGGGTTCATGCGGTTTTGGGTTGAAAACTGCTGAATATTCAGCATAGCAGCTGTGCTGTCATGATGGAAGAGATAGTCACTTTTTGCTACAACTGGGAATGTTTCTTCCTCAAATTGTGACACACCCTTCTCAGAACTTCCGCATAAAAACTTTGGTTGACTGTTTGATCAGGAAGAACAAATTCTAAGTCTACTACAAGGGGCTTGCTTTTCAAAAGATAATTCTGGTTTTGTGGGAGTTCCCCCCCTTAGATAGATAGATAAATAGATGATGGATAAATAGATGATAGATGGATGGATGGATAGATAGATAGGTGGATAGGTACATAGATAGATAATCTGGCTCTGCTCCTAGTTCCTGAGACAGAGATGCTAAACCTCTTTTAGATAATAGTGATAGGATAATCTCTTGTTCTAATATTTGACTTCCACTCTGGTTTCGGACACAAAACTTCTAAAACTTGTAATTTCCTGAGTGATAGGAGCATCTGACACAGACCTCCTAAATCCGTAGGAATTTCCTGGGCAATTGATCATTTGTTTAATGGGATAGAGGCTATTTGTCAGGCGAATAAACAAAATGATTAGGGGGTTGGAACTTTAAACCCCACCCACTGACCTCCAGAGAGGGGAGAGGTGTTGAAGGTAGAGTCAATCACCAATGGTCAATAATTTAATCAATTTTGCCTACATAATGAAGCCTCCATGAAATTCCAAAAAGACAGCACTGGGAGAATTTCCAGATGGCTAAACACTTGGAGGGTGTCACATCCAGAGAGGGCATGGAAGCTCTGTGCCCCTTTGCTCGTACTTTGCTCTATACGTCTCTTCCATCTGGCTGTTCATCTGTATCTCTTTTAATATACCTTATAATAAATGGGTAAACATAAGCAAAATGTTTTGTTCTGTGAGACTATCCAGAAAATTAATTGAATTCAAGCAAGAGGTCATGGGAACCCTGATTTATAGCTATTCTATCAGAAGCACAGGTCACGACCTACAACTTGTGTTTGGCATCTGAAATGGAGGCAGTTTTGTAAGACTGAGTCTTTACTTGTAAAGTCCACATTAGTTTTGGTTAGCATTAGAACTGGGATAAATTGTATAACAACCAGTTGCTCTATCCAATAGATCATTGGCTGTCGGTGGGAAGAAAAACCCACACATTTTTGGTGATGAGAAGTGAAGTGTTCTGTGTTGTACTGCGTGTATGAGAGAAGTAAAAAGCAGTTTCGCTTTTTTTTCCCCTCAGTGGCCTTCAATGATTATGTCATTGTTTATTTAACTCTTTTTCACTAGTTATTATCTCCATTATTAACTTTAAATCGTGTATTTTGTGTAACATATCCTTTAAAGTATATTAAAGAGCTATTATGCAACAAATGTAGATTTTCCACAAAACTTCTTTATACTCTGAGTATCTAGCATAATTAGATGTTCAATAAATATTTTATGAGGTTACAGATGATGTGAGAGTGATAGATTTCAAATTATCATTGTGCGATTACAACTCATGTATCACTCATTTTCCTTAATTTTATAGGTACATTTAGAGAAGAACAAAAATGCACATACCGACCGATGATGCAAGGTTTCATCTGCAAGCAGACTGACCAAGTAGTCCTAATTCTTGATAATGTTGATGCCACTTGGGAAATCCGGAAGTTATATCCAGTTGTATCTGTGACTGGTGGTTTTGTTGACATCTTTAGTAGTGTAAATACCAATATTCCCTGCTCTACCTCTGGGTTTGTATCTACTTTCTATTCCATTTTACCCACTAGGCAGATCACCAAGGTCTGTTTTGTGGATCAGACTCCTCAAGTTTTGCGTTTTTTTCTATTGGGGAACAAAAACACCTCCAAGCTTCTCTTGGCTATATTCTACCATGAGCTCCAGAGCCCCCATGTTTTCTTAAGGGAAAGTTTTATTCCACCCACTATGGTTCAGTCAGCTTCCTTATTGATGAATGAATCTATTGGTGTCAACTATTTCAACATCATGGATAACCTCTTGTACGTTGTCCTACAAGGAGAAGAGCCCATTGAAATACGCTCAAGCGTTTCCATTCATTTAGCCCTCACTGTGACGTTTTCAGTCTTAGAAAAAGACTGGGAAATAGTGACCCTTAAAAGATTAACTGACTTCTTACAGATTGACCAAAACCAAATAAGGTTTATTCATAAGATGCCTGGCAACGAAGGGACCTTAAAGGCCATTGCTGACAGTAGAGCAAAACGAAAGCGCAATTGCCCAACTGTGACTTGTACCAGTTACTATAGAAAGGTTGGTCAACGTAGACCTCTCATGATGGAAATGAACTCACACAGCGTTTCATCACCAACAACTATGGAAACTATCTCAAAGGTGATTGTCATTGTAATTGGTGATTTGCCAACAGTAAGGAGCACTGGAATAATTCCAACTTTATCAAGTAACAAGCTACAGAACTTGGCTCACCAAGTCATCACTGCTCAACAGACTGGAGTACTAGAGAATGTTCTGAATATGACTATTGGGGCCTTACTGGTGACTCAGTCAAAGGGAGTCACTGGCTATGGGTAAGAACTAATTATAATAACATCTGAATGAGGGCTGATTTCTTGTCTCCATATTGACATATGCTGCAAATGTCAATCTACTTACACTGAATTATATAACCTGTCTACTTATGATAAGACTACAAATTCAAGGAACAATTTAAAAACTTAAATTCTTATTTTTTATGTTCTGTATTAAATTCACATTATTCATGATGATTCTGTTTCCCACATAGTAGAACACATCATATTTTGATTCCTAAAGGTGAAAGTGTGTAAAAAGAAATTTTTCTGAAGCAATTTGTTTTTAGATCATTTGTTCATTCATTTATTTGTGTAATGAATTTAAGCAGTGAGCTAGGTTCTTGGGTTTCTAAGGTGAAACATATATTACTCTTGTTTTTGTTGCTTTTTCATTTTATGTATGAGACTACAAATAAATAAGCAATTAATATTTAATGAGTTGGGCCTGGGCATGGTGGCTTAAGCCTGTAAACCCAGCACTTTGGGAGGCTGAGGCGAGAGGACTGCCTGAACCCAGGGATTCGAGACCTGTCTGGGCAACTTGGTGAGACCTCGTCTCTACAATATATCAAAAAATTAGCCAGGTGTTGCATGCGCCTATAGTTCTGGCTACTTGGAAGGCTGAGACAGAAGGAAGGATCGCTGGAGGCCCTGCAGGTCGACACTGGGGTGGCTGTGAGTGTGCCACTGCACTCCAACCTGGGCAACAGAGTGAGACCCTGACTAAAAAAAAAAATTTTTTTTGATGAGTAGTAACTACTTCTACATAGCCATCTCCAAATGATGTGGGATTCACTAGAACTTAAATAAAAAGCAAAGGCAAAAGGAAACATTTGGATGCATATTCAAAGACTACACCGATTGCCTTTTTAAATACAGAGCAACATATTCAAATGAAAGTTTAGCTCATGTTTTTATATTATATTTTCTCTGTTTTTATAATAAAGATATATACGCACATATATGTATTTGTATATATATATATATATATATATATATATATATATGATGAAAAGAAAACTTAGGAGGCAATTTTGTTTTTCTGAATATCTGAAGGCGTCTGGGAATTGTTAATTTAGAAATTAAAAGTATTTATAATTTATAATTTCTCATAACGTATTAAATTTTGGATGTTTTTGTCAACCACTAAACTTTCACCATGTTGGCGTCTTTATTATGGTACTACACATGGTGATATGAGATTCAGAAATCTGAAAACAAGGTACTACTAAATCTTAGCTTATGTTTATTTTTTTTCTTTATCCCAATCTCATTTAGATCTCACTGAGTTTTTGTAAGTATATTATATATACACTTACATACATTTTCTCTAGAGAGAAAAAGAGTTCATTGCTTAATTTTATTTAGATTTTATAGAACTGAGCTTTTTATTAGGTCATTATTCCAAAATGACTGATTTTTATATTACATAAAAAGAAGACTCAGTGAATATTGAATCTTTAACTAGAAGGAAAGAAAAGTCAACAAGTAAAAGCAATAGAGGTATATTAGAGGACACCAGCAGAGCAGATCTAGCATAAGTTTAGCCATACACACGTGTATGGTGAATATCATTCTATCATGAAAAAGTGAAACATTCAAGGAAAAAAAATTACCTTTGTGTATCACTCAACATCTGTCATAGCCATCGTTTTTACTTTTGACTCATATATTTCTGATTTCATAAGAATCTGCTGAACATGTATATTATAGCATTGATTTCCTGTTGGGATGTGTTATGTCCCCTATGTACCTTTTTTTCTGGTACTTTAGGAGAGATTTTCTAGACATAGGGCAAAAAGCAAATCCTCTGAAAGTAAGGAAAGATTGCTTCTCAAGTATATCTGAACAAATCTCTGCAGAATAAGAAACACCATGTCCTATGGAATTGAATGAGAATTAGCAAGATTTTCCAAGTTTCTAAGAGTTGGAGTATGGTAAACAACCATGAAACTCTACGTAGGCCCCACGGCCAGCTTAGTGTCTTTCAGCTTTGATCGGTGTCAGTTGGGACTTCCATTGAATTCACTGGAGAGCTATTGATAAGCCAATGAATTGGCCTTGAGACAGCAAAAATGAGTCTAGGGACTCAGTCCTTTTAATGAGGAGTAACAAAAATGTTCTCCAGTGGTTCACTCTGCTTAATTTAATGGGGTTGTATGCATCTCAACAAATTTAGACCATACTGGATACATTTTTCTCACAGAATGTACCAACGTTGCTTTGCAGCGAGAAATAGAGTTGCCATCTACTTTTAAAGCAAATAGTATGTCGTGAATTGGCCTTTTCTATTTTTTCCCCTCTTCTAGTGACATCAGGCTTTAAGCGTCCTCTGCTTAACTAAATCAGTTCCATGAACCTACTTTTCAATTTCTAAAACTTTGTTGACCTCTGTTGCCTTTGTTGTCTCCTTGCCTGTCTTTATTATTGATTTACATTATTTTTACTCATTTATATTTTCAGGTAAATTTAGTGAAGTTTTTAGAGGAAGCAAAAATAAACATATATTTAATCTACCTTCTTAAACTGCGGGTTCCTCAACAGACTTTTATTTCTATACACTGTCTTTTATCTAGAATACTGGCAGAACATAGTTTATATTGCTTGCCTTCCTTTCAGTTGAGTTAACTTTTGATTTCTTGAATGTCCTTCTTTTCTCTCTCCCTCTCTCTTGCCTCATTCATTCCTATTCTAAAAAACCAAAAATCTCTAAATAATATTCTTTGTCACATAGTAAAATTAAATATCCGTGTATCTTTTATGAATGCTTAGCTATTGAAATGCCAAAGCTGTCTCTCCTTGTCAGAATTTCTAAAAATGGCTTCTTAAAAATGTGCCTCCCTATTACCTGGAACGTATGAATGTGATGAGTTAGCACTCATGATTAAACTATGTTATGTGACACAGTTGACCTTAAGATAGAAAGAATAGCTGAATTATCAAGCTTGAATTACCAAGCAAACATATGAACCCTTTAAAAAGCAGAGCTTTCTCCTGCTGTGGCAAAAGAAGGCAGAAGAAGAAGGTAGAGACAGTCCAAGTGTGAGAAGAATTTGATGGGTTCCCATGAAAAGGAACGCAGGTAGACTCTACAAGTAGAGAGTGGACATTGGCTGACAGCCAGTAAAGAGACAGCGACCTCATTTTTATAGCTATAAGGAAATGAATTCTGCCAACAACCTGTTTGGAAGTGAATTCTTCCTAAGTTGAGCCTCTACATAAGCATTAAAAGTTGCCAAGCCTGTCTGGACTCGTGGCCCACTCCCTGGAAAAATACCTTTGTGTTATTTTAAGACACTAGCTTTCTTATAATTTGTTATGTAGTAATAAAAGAGTAATATGCTATGTCACATAATGCTCTTTATGACACTGCCATGAACCTTGGCCCCGAAAATATAGTGAGGGTGAGCATGACACTGTGGGATTGTGATCTATGTGTGTGTGCACATGTGTATACGTGTTTACTTATTACTTTAGTGACTTTTTAAGTTCCCCGATTCTGTGTAAGGAGCACCCTGTCAGGCTGACTTGAAATAGAGAAGAAAATTAGGAGAGTCAATCGGTGATACAAGTCTATTGATATCCATTCACATTTAATGTTGTCTCTTCTGCCACTTCTCTTCTCCATGTCTCTGGGGCGCCTGCTTTCTAGGAAATAGCTGTTTGGAGTACTTAAGTATAGACCGTTTGTCAACACGGGAGGATGTTCTTTTCAAGACTGGTAGAATATTTATCCTAGAAAAGATTCCTGTGTTGCCAGTTTGTCTTTTTTCTTCTCAATGTCAAAACCACAACTTTGCCTTTAAAGAGTATTTTTACATAATTTCTTCTTTTCACTACAATAAAAATTCACTACTTTGTTGAGTAGAGTGGATGGCAAAATCACCGTAATAGTATTTCATATATGTGGCTTTGTGGGAAAATGAGATATCTTGCATAGTCAAGCTTTTTATATAATTAAAAATTATTCCTTTAATTATTGACATATTTTAAAAGTCTTCAACTCTTACTCTTAAAAAAAACAGACAGAGATTACATAATATTCAGCCTTGTTAAATGGAGAGTAATATAGACCATTCGCAGTTTTTATTGATGATTCATGATCACCATTAAAACTATCATTTATTTTACAGCCCTATTTTTGCAGTGATGCCCTTGGGTGCTATTGTTCTTATACTAAATGGTCTCAGACCACTAAATCTTTCATTCTTGTTCTGCAGTTTATATTTTGCCTGCTATTTTTTTGTTGAACAGAATGTTAATTGCAATCTACTGCTGCTGTTGATATGTCTGCATTCGGCAATTCCCTACCCTCATGCACATGTAACTCTAATTCCAAAATTGAACCACACTACCTTAAAATCAAGTAATTTAAGAATATGTGTACATATGATGAAGTCCTAATTGAATTTGATAGATTGAAAGCCTATATTTCAATTTAAAAATTCCCGAACACTAATCAAACAACTATTATGTCCAAAATATTATATAGTTCCTATAAAAGTTGAAAGATTTGAAAATTAATGGACAAAAAAATATTTACCTCAGTATTTAGTGAGATATTGCATTAAATTTAATTCTACATCTGTTACAAAGAAATCATTAATTTAATTAGAACCTGCTTAACCAATAACCTAATTTTTTCATGACATTAATTGAGTATATTTTTATCTTTTTAATATATATTTTCTTTTTTTTTTTTTTTTTTGAGTTGGAGTCTCACTCTGTTGCCCAGACTGGAGTGCAGTGGCCACTCCCGGCCACCACAGCCTCGACCTGCTGGGCTCCGGCGATCCTTCCGCCTCAGCCTTCCAAGTAGCGGAATTACAGGCATGTGCTACCACGCCTGGCTGATTTTTTAATTTATTGTAGAGATGAGGTCTCGCTGCCCAGGTGGGTCTCGAACCCGTGGGCTCAGGCAATCCACTCACCTCAGCCTCCTAAAGGCGCGGGATTACAGGCTGAGCCACCGAGCCCGGCTAATATATATTTTCAACTTACTATTCACAAGAGTACCTAGGTACATTGTCATTCACAGTAAATGATTATTCAATATTTATCACAAATAGTGTAGCCTGTTTGACTTTTCTACTTTTCTAATACTCCTGTGAAACCAGTATTTTGTATTAAATCTCTTATGTTAGAAAGACCTTGGGTGGTTTGCCTGGCAAGACTATGCCTTCTATAGCCTCCCAGGACAAATAGAAAATTTTGAATATTTGTGTATGATCTTTAAAAATATATTCAGAGTTTTTATTCTCCTAGATAAGATATGCATGCTAGATTTATTATAAAATACTATTTTAATATTACCAATTAAATACTTAGGTTTTTGTCACCTGAATTTTTGCTTATAATTGACTTGGTTGGAAGATGTGCCATGTTTATTCCATGTCTTTATGTGTTTCTGACTCACTGTAATCTACACCTGGGGCTACTCCGATTTCAACTAGAACTGAATAATCCCAAGCAATCACAAGAGTTTAATCCTAAGTATTACAGTATAACAGTAATCACACTGCTTAAGAAATGCACCAGAACAGAATTTGGTCAGACCAAGATGGATGGTGGCATACCAGAGGCAATTGGTTACCTAAGAGCAGAGGAAGTGCATGATGGGTACTGATTTGGCAAAGTGTTACTATAACAACACATATTGGGTGTTTTATGTGTGCCAGGCTTGGAAACACTCAACCTAGTGCCAGAAGGAAAGTGTCAGATCATAAGACATGTATTTCCTCCCAGGAGTTGACAGGTTACTAAGGAATCCAGGATAGGCTTAGTAGGGAGCATATAAGCTCCATGACATGTAAGTAAAACGTTAAGTATCAACTCAAAAAGATAGCAGGGGCAGAGATCATGGTGTTTCATTTATTTTTGCATATCTCACCATGTTTTTTCATAGTAGGAGAGCTAACATATATTTGTTAAATAGAATTGACTAAAGAATTTACCTTTTTCTTGCAGGGTACAGTCATCCAAACGTTTTTTAGAATTCAAATCCCCTTATAGTACTTGTAGACTATTCTGCCTTATCTAGCTATTTAAAACAAGAAAGATAAAAAAATGCTCACTATACCCTGAAACAGTCCATAAGAACCTGAGGATTTTTACAGGAACCTGGCTTAGTAGCTTTGAGGAGAAGATTGAAGAGAGTATCTCTAATCCCCACCCCCACCCCACCACAGTAGGTCTTGCTTGTCCAGAGCCAGTTTTCACCAATAAAATTTATTTATTTGTTTTGCTGAGTTTGACATGCAAATAGAAATAATCTCATCTTTCTTCCACAGGGTAAACATTTCTGATCTAGTGAAATGGAAAAGCAAGAGTTGGAATTAATAGGGGTGATCTCTAAATTAGGAAATATCTGTATTCCCTTGATCTTTCTCCTTTAGCCTGCACTGAAGCGTTACAGAAAAAAAAATTCTTTCACATGCCTGACTGGGTATTGGAAGCTGTTAAATAGTGGTTAAAACTGGGAGGAATGGAGGGAACTTTCCTCCCCCATTTTTTAAAGTTTGGCTGTAGGTCCTTCTGCCTGCAGGCTACAGTCACATTAGCAGTTGGAAATTGGATAACGACAGCACAATGACAAATCCAGGTTGCTTGCAATAAGTTGCTAATCCCTTTGCTTTAATATTGGAGCAGCGTGTAATGATGTTTGGACATCACTCCAGTTTACTGACGACCCCACTGGGGCCAGCAATAGAACCTTACAACTGTCTAACAAGGCGTCAGGTGACTCCCGTCGTCACAGCAACGGACACTGGAATCTAATCTTCCCTCCATCCCTTCTAGCACCCAATAACGCCTAGATTATATAAGTGGCCCATCATTGCTGGGTAACTTGAATCAATTAACGTTAATTCGCACAATGCTATGATGTATTGTGATCACTTTCATTTCAGGGAAGGGGGAGAAATTGCTATAAGTCACCTAAAATGAGGTTGTCTGTGGTGCTGAGGTATTAATTGGGTGTCCATATTAAATGCAAAAGGAGCCCCATCGTGAAAGGAAAGTGGATGAGTGACTCTCTTGGCTGCTATTGACCTATCAGAAGAAGACAGTGCCCTTTTCCTTTGCTTTTATCTATTACAGTTTTCCCTATTGCGTGTCAAGTTGATGTATTATAAAAAATTCATTTGGTGACCTTTCACCCCCTTAGCAGATTAAACAATTTCACTTCGATGGCATCATTAACAGGACCCTGCATTTAATGATGATTTCTCTAAAAGGCCACGGAGATTCGATTTTAAGCTAACAGATTTATTGCACTATTATAACATATCGTAAAAAACTGTACCACCTATGGTCAGGTTTTAGGATAGAAACTGTTTAAGAGTTTATGTGGAGCTTAAAGTGGTATTACCTTGGGATATGCTGCAGCAGCAAGTCTCTGACCTCCAGTGAGATGCTGTTTACATTTAATAAGATATGTTTGCTCACAATAAACTTTAAAGTGTGTCAGGAATGGGCCTTTCAGCGGGTGCTCAGGCAGTTGGTTCCCAACCCTTCGTCTCTAGACAGCAATGTACTTATGTCAGAATCTTTGATGGGGTCTTTCAGTTTCTTTAACCCAGACTGCTTGCCTGTGTCCTGGCCCTCATCAGAAAGCAGTTAAGGACTAGGTGAGGGGAGAAATAAGATCGGGTAACAATGTTAGAATTTTTCAATAGCCTGGGACCCATAGAAGAGTAGAATTAATAACATGGATTTTAAAAATCTGGTATAAATTGTTTCTTTTTTAAAAAGGAAAGGAGCGTTAGCCATTCAGGCTGAGCAAACTATTAAATGATGATTGGGCTGGTATGTGTTGAATTCCCAGGTAGTGTTTCTAGGGTAGAGGCTGGGTTTTATCTGGTAGACGACCAAAGGAGTTCTTAGGAACACATAGCCCCACTCTGCCTACTTTTTCTAGAATTTCCAGGGGAGAGGGCAATAACTTCCTCCAGAACCTTTATATTTTGTGATCCATTGTATTTGCTTTTCTGCTATTTCCTCTTTTAGGACTAATCTTCGGCTTGAGGTATAGTAAATCACACAACTATTTTATATGTGTTCCATTTTATTGCTAAGTCATATCAGCAATTAATATGTTTGAATGTGGTAAAAGCAACATAGCCCATTGGTTAATTACTCTAGACATTGGTCAACACTATTTGTAAGACCTTTGGCAAACTACTGAAACCTTTTTGGACCTCATTTTCTTCATGTATAAATAAAAGTACCTACCTCAGAGTATCATTTTAAAGATGCAATGAGTTCATATATGAAAACTTATAATAGTACTTTGTATATAGTAAGTGTTCAGTAAATATCAATTATAAATGTTTTTTTATCCTCAGGTGCTTCATGCAATTAAAATACATTAATCAATGAATGCCACAGTTATTGAACCGATTTAGTGCAAGCACACCTGAAGAATATAAATATGAAAGTGTTGTTGTGAGGATTAAACAAACTACGCTGTGCTAAAGTTTGCTCTTGAGCATCTCTCCTCAATTCTGTTCAGTGACATTATCTTGGTATCTTGGAATTAGCTATGGCAGTAGTATTTTACCAAGGAAACTGGAACACACTACAAATCAGAGCGTTTTTTGAAAGAGCTCATTTAATTGCCTACTACTGAACATGTTCCTGCCCTTTAAGTATTTTAGGCTGATAAGTTCCTTCACTGAGGTTCCTTTTTGAGGGGCTGATCATAATAAATAGTGATAAGACTATAAATCGATAATTTGTGCTTTCCCCTTCCAGGTCCATTTTTTATTGTGGCTAAGAAAACATATGAAATATATACGTAAATATATAATTAATCTTTGGCATAAAGCATGTTGACTACACAGTATATTATTAAGCTTCTAGAAACAGAGGCAAATGCAAATATTTTCACTAGTGATAATGTATCATGGAAAATTGCGATTGCAAGGATATTTGTAATCCTATGGATGTATTGTTTGTTTTGATATCTTCCAGAAATACAAGCAATTTTAAAACTGGAAACTTAATATACATTCGGCCCTATGCTCTTTCCATCCTAGTCCAGCCTTCAGATGGAGAAGTGGGGAAAGAGCTTTCTGTGCAGCCACAGCTTGTTTTTGTGGACAAACAGGTAACTTCTCACTGGTAGCAATATTTCTTTAGAGCTGAGCAGCATGTTGCAATTGGTATGTCTGAGATTTTGTCATCATTCATATAGATTTACAGAGTGCCCACTGTGCAATTTGCTGCACTTAGAACTTCTCACTACTTCTCTCATTTTCTTTCCAGTTCACAGCCTGTCTTCCTTCCATTTTCTATGACTTTTTCAGAATTTGATCAAGCGTAAAAATAAAATTCTGATTTTTCCTCTTCAAGCAAATTCTTTAATTGAGTCTCTCATATATTCTATGAAATCTAGCCTTCTCAAGGAAGGAAATCTAAGTCTAAAGAAGTCTACATATGCTAATAAAGGAGCTTATGAAGTCACATATGCATTACAGGTTTATGTTATGTTCAATGATCTCTCTCCTGTGTGGGTAAGTGAATCATCACGAGGCTTCTGTGCTTAGTTTTAATTGCAGGCTCAGTGTCCTTTGATTCTATTGTATCTTTTCTACAGTTATAAAACTCATGGAGATAAAAAGGAAAATATGGTTATTAAATCTGCCTGCTCCTCTTTACTTTACCACCGCATCCCCTAAGATGCTTGCAGAGAGAAGACTGTGTAACTGAACTCCACACTTGAACTCTGAGGTCGACCCTGTCAACTTTGTCTAGATTGACACTTATCCAGCTCTCTCCTGCTTTCTTCTCTTTACCTTTTCTTATTAACCTTTAGCACATAATGCCATTCTTCTATTCCATAAACTTGGCTTTCATTTCCCCTCTATGCTGCCCTGCCCCAATTTGTGCCGCAAAATCTCCTTTTTTTAAGTAAATTAATTTTGACATATTCGTAACTTGAGAAAGACAACATTTATTTATCATTTTCTTCCTTTGTTCATATCTACTGAATAAGGCTTCTGTCTGAATCTTCTTTTGTAGAAGACTTCACAAAATTTTCTTCTGAATCCAACTTCTTCTTCCTCCCCCTACCATTTCTAGAATCGAAGAGTGGAGTCCTTGGGGTCCCCCTCAGAGCCTTGGACCATTTCAGCTTCCCTGGAAGGGACATCAGATTCAGTGCTAAAAGGTAGGAAGGTATCTGCGACTTACAGGTACCGATTACTACTTTATCTGCACAGAAAATGTTCGCACTCAGAAATTCATCGCAAAGTTGGTAATACTCAATTTTTCAGTAATTATTTGGAAGGAATCTAAAGTGTCAGTGTCTGGGAAAAGTAAGATTAGGCTGTCAGTGAATACTTATGTCACCGTCTTCACCTCACTCTTCCTTTGCCTGATAGGACAATGTTTTCATCATATCTATAACCTAATATGGTATAAGGAAAAGGGAATGGCATCTTTGGCTGGATCTCAAAACTTGTTTTTCTATAGACTACTCAGTCACACACCTTTGTTTGGTACAGTATCATGGACTGGCCCAAAGAGCAATTTGCTAAGTACAGTGGGGAGTCTATATAAGAGGAACACATGCTCTCAATGTTATGAAGAATACATGTGATGCTAAATACAAAACTCCTGACCCAGAGGAGCCCTCAGAGTTTATTTTCCCCCTCTACCTTTTTCTGCCCTATCTTGCCTTCCTCTTCAATCCCAGCACCACTGCCAGCTCCATCTACTTTCCTTACAACTTGTGTATCTGAAAATCTATTTAATATGCAAACTACCTTGGGCCAAGATAGTTTGATTACATATTCCAAAATAGGCCAAGGAATGTGCATTTTAGGGCCCAGCCTAGAGAGAAACAAGCAGGTATAACGTGATTTGTATGGGGCAAAATTAGTTTCTAAATTCCTGACTACACACACACACACACACACACACACACACACACACACCCTTGAAATACAGCCTACCCAAAGATATTAAAAGGCGCTTGCAGGTGTGCCCTAGTGGGCTGTCACAGATGAGGAATTCAGAATCCCCAAGGACTAGCTGGAGTGTTGCCACTGGTTTATCCTGTTTTGTTTTGGAGCTTAAAAAGTACACATTTTTTATTATGAAATCATTGTGTTTCTGTTTTAAAGTCGTACAACATGTGAACCACAAAAAATATTTTTTTAAAATTTATTTTAAAGATGTGGGGTATAATTCAGGGCTAGGTATACAAATGGTCATTGTGTAGGTAAAGTTTGGGCCTCCCTTTACAAAAAATATTTTAAGGAGAATGTGTTCGAGTAACTGAAAGAAGGCAAAATCACCAAATGACTAAAGGAGATAAAGAAAGGAGGTGAAGTCAGAAGGGTGATGGAGTCTGACAGATACCAGAGGATGTTAGAGACCATGGTGGGAAGTTTGGACTATACTCTCAGTGAGACACAAAACCTTTAGAAAGTTTTAAGTAAGCCAGTGCCAAGGTCTGACTTTCATGTTTAGCAGACCACTCTGCTCAGTAGAGTTTGGATTCAAGAATGGCAGAAGTAAACGTACAAAGGCAGTTGCAAGTGATTGAAGAAGGCCAGGCAAGAAATAATGGTGGAGATCACAAGTGCATTGATCGAGTATATTTTAGAAGTAAAATCAACAGAATCTACTGGAAGTAAAGGAAACAAGGACTTAAGGAAGACTTTTAGGTTTTGACCTTGAGATATTGGGTGGATATTGGTGTTATTTACTAAAGTGGGAAACACTGAAAGCGGAGCAAAAAGCAAGAGTATGTTTTTTTTATTTTTAATTTTAAAGAGGTGGGTTGCAATTCACGGTTAGAGATACAAATGTTCATTATGCAGGTACCCTTGTTGATGAGGTGTGGCCCCCCCCCGGCAGTTTCCGACTACTGTCAATCCCTTTCTTATAGTACTACAATAATTGTTCAAGTTCCACTTATGAGTGAGAACACATGATACTCAATTCTTTGTTTCTGTGATAAAACACTCAGTAGTCCATCCAAGTAAGCAAGAGTTTTGATGAGAAGAAATACAAAAAGGTAAGTACAGGCTGGCAGCTGGACCAGATTAAGATAAAGATCTTTTTATATGAATAATTTTCACTTTAAGGCAGCAGAAACAAGGGATTCTGTTTTATAATTGTTATAGTTTGTGTTCCAGAGAGTCCAAAGGACTTCCTGTTACCTTACCTGTCTCCCTTCAAACTTACCATAAATTATTAATCATTGTTCCTATTTAGAGGTTTCTTTCTATTGTGTACAGTCAACGGGGGCCTTTTCCAACACACAGATCTTGCCTAAGGGTCTCAAACTTCATGCATAGGGGTTTTCTCTTTTTGTAAGGAGGCTCATGTTCATCATAATATCTGGGATTTTTCCTCTGGTTACAGATATGATTGTGTATTTCCTTCTCATTTAGGAAGTTCCAATCATACACGGTTGCAGGTCAATCCTGGAGCTTCAACCTGAGATGAAGGGAAATTCTTTTTATATCAACTTGATGTAATCAAGAATAGGATGGTCCAGTGGGACATTCCACAATTATCCCCTATATGTGGATAGTGGGCCAGAGATTATAACAGTATCAAGAGTGGATTGTTAAATCCTTTTAATCCCTCTTCAAGAAGGAAGTTTTAAAGTGTCTCAAGAATTCAGACTGATTAAAGATGATTTTTAAGGTAGAGAAAATATTCCCAGAAAGGAAAGCATCCACTCCTTTCCCCACAGCCTCATTCCTGACAGTTCTTCAAAATCCTTATAGGTTCTCATTAAAGAATTTAGTCAGTGGGCTTATCATGTCTACTTGAATTCAGAATTGTTGAATAATTCTGACCAAAAATTAGGACTCAGACAAATCTCTTCACAAAATATAATATTGCTGTTTTAGATTAGAAAGACTTTCTAAATATGTTCTGTTGTTTTTGAAAATAAAAATAAAAATATGTTCTGTTGTTTTTGAAAATAAAAATAGATATCAAAACATACATATTATATAAAGAGATATCAGTATTGATAAAATGAGCAAAAGAGAATAGTAGTTATCTGTTTTAAGTACAATAACCTATTATACCATGATACCTGTAAGTAGAAAATCTTGTTAACTTTTGCAGACCCCCCTTTTAGAAATACGGTTCCATGTGCTATTTATGCAGAGTTATTTCTGTGATCATAATGATGGACCTTTTATGTCAGTAACATGTTGAAAGGAGGCTCCATATCTATAAATCACTGGCAGTTTTAAATTGCTACGATTTGTATGTACCTTTACATAATTACTCAAATATTTCCATCCTTATATAAATTTGAGAATTATATTGATATCCCTTTAAAAATTCAGCTTTTCAGATTTCTTGTGTTCTTTATGAGTCAGCTAGGGTATTTCTATTTCTGTTGGTTTTGTGTTCCCTGAAACTTTTTTTTTTTTCCAAACTTGGAAATGACTTATTTACCAACTCAAACATCATCAACCTATCTGCCAAATCACTGGACTCCAAGAATAGACTATGACTTTAGAGATACTACTTTTTCTCCACTGGCTATGAGTCTGAGCTCATTATATATGAAATACCAAAATAGATAGGAATAAGTCGATTATAGATGTGCTAAATCTTGCCTCTTCTTCTAATTAAATTTGATTTTGGCCTAATACTGTTCCTATTATCTGGTACATAACAACTACCTCTCCTGATAATGTTGTTCTTTCATTCTTTATTTGTCTCACAAAAAAAAAAAAAGGAATGATATAACATTGTTATGATAAGTTTCCAAGTTAATGAATTCTCACTTGACATTGTTTTTAATGAATGAACTTCAGATCAGATCTCAGTTTCTTTTTAGCATCACCATTTAATTTGGCTTATACATTTTGTTTCCTGTATAGTTATACCTCATCAATTCCAGAAAACAGAACCATCCCCTTCTGAAAACTCTCTTGAGGAAGCAATTGACATCTCATGATTAAACATTTCAGAGCTTCAAAATTCTTAGTCCTTAAAGCTTGTTTCATCTTGTTGTTTTCTTATTAGAGCTATAAATTTGCCCACTCTCTTTTCAAGTTGCCTTTTAAATGTCTGGGCCTGTAACTTCTTTACCCTATCTGCTTACTTATTAAGAAGCTAAATGTTTTCAGCCTGTTCACAAAAATATTTTTCTCCAAAACTTCAAAGTCGTGTTGCTCTTAGCACCCTCTCCACTTTCTCTTTGTACAATTCAATTTTAAGGCCCACATAATGCTGCAAATTCTGTGGCAATGTCCTCATAGACTTTCCATTCTATCTTTTGCTCACTTTGGTGAAAGTAAGTTGTATGGCTGACTCATATTTTTGCTATTGATCATTTCTTTACCTAGGCAATTAAGTGTGAAATCCCTTGGGTTTAAAGTCCCAAGGAAAGAGCACAGCCCCAAATGGACCTTGGACATGCAGAAACAAGGCATGTCATTTAAAAAGCAAGAAAATTAAGTGAACCTATCCAAGTTTCCCCGGTGTGAAAAGTAAACATTCAAAACTGCATTTTTTACTGCCTGTTTTGATGCTGTCATTCTGTTTGTTCTTTAATGCCATTTTTAGGACATAACAGTGACTCCCTTCTGTATATGGCAGCATCCAAAATATTACCAACTTGTTTCATGTTTAGTAATATTTACAACAGATATCTGCACAGAACTTCTAAAACTTACCCCCCATCTTCTGCTCTATACATTATCCATGCTCCAAACCTTACCCACATTCTATGTCCTACAACCTTACTCCTACTCCACACCTTACCATTACCTAGGACCTTATTCACACTCCCTGCCTTAGCCACACTCTATACCTTAACTATAGTCTGGACTTTCTATACTCCATGCCTTACCCATTCTTCCATACCTTACTCAGATTCCATATTTTACTTTGCCCCATTCCTGACCCTTGTCACACCCCATCCTTCATTATTTTTCTTTCACTTATCCTAAAAATGTCATCACTGACCAGCATAGAATCATATTGTGGCCATGCAAAATGAATGAGGCATGAACTATTTACTATTTTATTCTACAGACACCAAGCCACAGTCAAGCCAGTTGCCCACTCAGATCAGTATTTTCAGCAGTGTCCTTTTTGGGAAATTCAATATGAAAGTATGAGGAATGAGCTGAGGGTTTTTTCCTATACATACAGTTTTTTTGTGTTACAAAGTAGGGAGAAAAATCACATGGTGTTTGCTGTTTTTAGGACGCCCACATCATCCAAACATCCTGTTTCATATGATTGAAAGTTTCTCTTGAAGCTATCATGAAATACCTCTTAACTTCAGGAAAACCGGCACCAAAAGCATTTGGGATGGATTATCTTACTTACTATAAGTATTTCCTGAAGAAAAACAAAATAACAACAAAAAATCATATCTATATATCTAGTCTAAATCTTTTATTTTGCAATTTAACTTTATATTCTTTTTTTTAGTAGACCCACCTCAGTGAAAAAGAAGTTACAATCTATTACCATGATCAGTGAATTTATGTACTCAAAGACAATTATTTAAAGGTCTTCCAGATCCTTTGACATATTTAGATCAGAGTGGTATGAAAAATATGTTTTTTTTAATATTTTTAAAGGTAGCATCTCAATATTAATGATGTAGAAGTTTACCAGTGTACCCAGTTAGGGGTGAGTGGGATAGTTGTGGGGATGATTTGGGCTGCAAAAGTATTTTAGAAACCATCTATCCTGCAGAAACCCATTCAGGTAACATTCCCTGGTAGTTGTGTAATCAATTCCAGTCTTGCTCAAGCCCAGCACACCCCACCTCATCCCAAATCCCCCTAGCCAGTATGTTGTTTATACCAGCTTGATCAGAGAGCCTGTCAATTGCATTTGTATATTTCATAATAGCTATTCCAAAGATATGATGAACCCTGGAGTAATGTACTGTACTTGGCAGCAACTGCTTCAGCTTTTGGGCACATATGCTTCAAATCTGAGAATATCATAGATATATATGGGAATCTTTGTAGCGATCTCTAAGGCAAGCTGGTATTTAACGCAAAAGCAAACCCATTTGGAGCTAAAGCACTTTCCATTAGGCAATTTGGCGGCTGTTCTACGAGGCAGACTCACTGTGCTCTACGGACACATTTCGATTAAATGCTGCTTTGTATTCTTCCAAAGATGGGAACAATAAGGACGTTTGTCAAAGGAAAAACTGCAGCAAATGATTTCATGTTGAACATCTGTAGTCTGCAGTTCATTGTTTGCAAGAGTTTATTGACCATAATTTTGATGCATATAGGTTTTAAAGAGTATAAACTGCATTTATCTTGGGTGCCTATCATTTATTTGAGTCTTGGCTTATTTATTTCCATTTTTCTGGGCATTTTATTTATTTTGGAACTCTGAAGAGATGAAGGAAAAGATGTTTCTCAAAAAGGAAGTTTTAGTTAGCTCTGCAAAATTGGTGAGAAAACACAATGTTTTCACAAAAAAGATTAAGCAATTGAATTGAAAAATGTAACACTAAGCATATTATCTTTATGATACCTTTCAGCTTTAGAGATCTCAAACCAATTTGTAAACTTTAAGACCACTCTTCTAACCCTTCGTCCACCATACCAATCATCATGATATTTCCAAAGTGAAGTGTAGCAGCTGTTAATTAGCAAAGTAATTTAGGGATAGTGGAGTCAAAAGAAAATTAATGATATTGTGAATGTGATCCTGAGTTAAATTTTCTTCTTTCACTCTATAGATAAATGGCCTATTTTTAGAAGATGAAAGCTTTTTATTTTGTATTTTATTCAGGGAAATCAAAGCTCAGGCAATCCATGTTGCTAACTCAGAGTAGTTTTGTCGGTCATGATTTGATAGATTGCTGTGATCCTGATCTATGCTACCACATAAACTATAGATTTCCTGGATACAGAAGAGACAGACTCTAGAAACTGATCACCTAGAAAGATAAAAGAATTTCTTTTTTTGATAGACGTTTAATAATAAAATAGTCAATATACAGTAGTGTTTAAGAATACAAATTTTGAAATCAGGCAGATTTGAGCTGTAATCTCAGCACCAAATAGTTTAATCTTCCATGAGCCTGTTTCCTAATCTCTAGAATATAGACAACATATTTTGTAAGGCTGTTGTGTAGTTTATATACAATGATGTGTATAAAGAACAATACCTGGCATTGCAAACGTTTAATATATGTTAGTTATTACTATTCTGTCTTGAACTGTTTGGCTTCAAGTCTTGTCTAAGGTAACCTGATAGGTTAGGTCACTTTTTCCATTAAAAAAAAAAAAAAATCTTTTATTGTCCAATTGATTATCTTCAGAGAAGACTTGAAGAAATTGTTCTCGAATAGATAACTAACATCTATTTTTGTTTTGTGTTGTTTGTAGGGTGTACCCAGGCAGAAACTCAAGATGGTTATGTTGTTTTCTCCAATTTGGCAATCTTGATCTCTGGGTCAGACTGGCGCTTTATTTTTACTGTCACTTCCCCTCCAGGTAAATGTAGCACACTGTGTTTTTATTCTCTCTTTTTTTTTTTTTTTGAAAATAACATTTTGACCTTATCATGGGAATAGCTCATTATGAATAAGCAGTCATAGTATTTAATTTAATTAATTTTTTTGAGTTGGTGTCTCACACTGTCATTCAGGCAGAGTGCAGTTTTATGATCATGGCTCACTGCAGTCTCCAACTTCTCGGTTCAGGTGATCAGGTGATCTTTCCACCTCAGCCTCTCAAGTATTGTAGCTGGGACTACAACTGTACTACAGGTGTGCTCCATAACACTCAGCGATTTTTAAATATTTTTGAAGAGATGAGACCTTGCTATGTTGCCTAAGCTGGTCTTGAACTTCTGGACTCAAGCCCCATCCTCCCATCTTGGCCTCCTAAAGTACTGGGATTACAAGCGTGAGCCACTATTCCTGACCGGTCTTTGTATTTTAGGGGAAAAAAAAAATCACTTTGTTATATCACTAAGGTGTGACAAGAAAAAGCACATGTAGAAATTAAGCCTCAGGAAACTCCTGATGAGCAAGAATCCAAATGTACCTTATCCTTTTTATGTTAAAATTTACTTTGGGCTGGGCTCAGTGGCTCAGCCTATAATCCCAGCACTTTGGGAGGCCGAGGTGAGTGGATTGCCTGAGCCCACGAGTTTGAGCCCACTTGGCCAAACCTCATCTCTACGATAAATCAAAAATTAGCCAGGTGTGGTAGTGCCTGCCTGTAGTTCTGGCTACCTGGAAGGCTGAGGCGGAAGGATTGCTGGAGCCCAGCAGGTTGATGCTGGGGTGGCTGTGAGCGAGCCACTGCATTCCAACCTGGGCGATGAACTGAGACTCCAACTCAAAAAACCCCCCAAAAACAAAAAACAAAATTTACTTTGAGTGTTCTGTTTTCTTTTTTATTATTCATTCCTATGACATTTGACTGGATATTAATAGGAAAAATTTTAATTTATAAGAAACAGAGTCATGGGATATTGAGTATCATTAAATCTTATCTTTGGGTTCTATTCTCACCACTCTCACCTGGTGTTATATTCATTAACATCCTTGTACTTTAGAAGTATTAATATAAGTTGTGTGTAAATTGCTTATATAACCGAGCTCTTCTTGATAAAACATTTTTTTTTTTTTTTTTTTTGAGTTGGAGTCTCACTGTCGCCTAGACTGGAGGACAGTGGTCGCTCCCGGCCACCGCAGCCTTGACCTGCTGGGCTCTGGTGATTCTTCTGCCTCAACCTTCCAAGTAGCTGGAACTACAGGCACACACTACCACACCCGGCTAATTTTTTCGATTTATTGTAGAGATGAGGTCTCGCCTGCCCACGTGGGTCTCGATAAAACATTTCTTAAAAGCTCCCTCTAAAGTATTAAATGTGGCTTTCATGAAAATAGATAATGAACACTTAACAAGTTATTTAACTCACAAATGAGGGAACCAGGAAGATGACAAAACTGGTTTAAAGAGCATCTGAGAGATAGTAACCAAATAGCCAGGGAAGAAATGCTGCAACACATTTGCTAAATTGAATACAGGGCAATAAAACCATAAACTTTGAGGTCACATGTCTACAGATATCATTTGAATCTTTACTGGACAAAAATCATTTGTATCTTGTCAGTGTTCTACAAATTAACAAGTCTGGGTCTTAATTAATAATAAATATTAAGTCAAACCAACATATGTTCTAGCCCAGGGTCCCCAGCCTCTGTGCCACAGATGGGTATCAGTCCATGGCTACACAGCAGAAGGTGAGCAGTGAGTGAGTGAAGCTTCATCTTTATTTATAGCAACTCCCCACCACTTGCATTACCACCGGAGCTCCACTTCTTATCAGATCAGTGGAGGCATTAGATTCTCAGTCTACAGGAGTGTGAAATGTATTGTGAACTGCACATGTGAGGGATCTAAGTTGCATGCTCCTTATGAGAATCTAATGCCTGATGATCTGAAATGGCTGAAGTGGTGATACTACTGGGGAATGGCTGCAAATGCAGATTAACGTTAGCAGTGAGGTTTGACTGCACAGAGACTATAATAAGTCAATTGCTTACAGACTCATATCAAAACATTATCAGTTAGTGGCAAGTGAGTTGATGTACTTCAATTGTACTGCTGCACCTGGTGCAGAATTTAAGTCAGAATCCAACACTTATTTTAGTCCACTTGTGACCTGTCCATTATTTTATTTACCACTTCCATCTGTGCCTCTTTTTTAAAATGGTGCATTATGTAATTATTTCATTACATATTACAATGTAATAATAATAGAAATAAAGTGCAAAATAAATGTTTTGCACTTGAATCATCCTGACTCCGATCCATGGAAAAATTATATTCCACAAATCTGGTTCCTGATGCCAAAAAGTTTAGAACCTCTATTCAAGACAACTTAATAACCATGAATGATAAATGGGTCTTTTGGAAATGTTCTGGTGTGATGTTGATAAGTCCCATAATCATAATCCTTTTTAAAAATTCTAACTTGTGGATCATTTTCCTAACAAAACGATTACATTCTAAGGTCAGGTAATATTAGTAAGTGTTAATTTTGAAGGGCAAATATTCTTTCAACATCTGTAAAGGTGTCCTAATATATGCAGGTTCATAAATAAACATGCTTTATGTCCTTGACTATGGTATTCCCAGGAATTTTGCCTTAAACTTGAGTTTTTGGGTGGATATATTTTAAAGGGTAAAATGTTAACCAAATCGGGTTCGTTTGTCACTTCTGTACTTCCTGACACTGCTAAGACACATAAGAGTTTTTGCAAGTTTGTAGTATTGATCTCTTTCCCAGACTTTCCACATTCCTGAGCATTACCATGGTCTAGGCTTTGACTTTTCTGACCATTTCTTGGGGACCTGGGCTTCCCAGGAGGCCCTCAGGGGCTGTTGGGCTGAGAAGAAATTAAAGGAGCCAGGTATTCCCCCTCGCACTCCCACCTCATACATGATTAACTAGAGGAATTCTAAATGTGGTTGAATTTCATTTCCTTTAGAAATTCACAAAGCTCACCCATCAGTTCATTCAGATTTCTTCTCAACTGTCTTCTCCTCAGAGAGGCCTTTTCTGGATCACTCAGTCCACACCATCCCCAATCCTGCCCTACCTCCAGTCATTCTGTCTTACAACCTCCATGGTTTACATCATGCATATATCACTCCCTGACATTAGTGATATGTGTGTGTTGGTCCTTCCATCAGGACACAAGTTTCAAAGGGACAGAGATTCTGCTTAGTTCAACCCTAATCCTCAGGGAGTTGAAAAGTCTGGCACATCATAGGCACAAATAAATGTTTATGAAAGAGTGAATATGTTGAGATTATTTTTAAGATTGAAAATTTTAAAAATATTCTGCTGCTAAATTATTAGAAAGCTATTGGTCTCTGTTAGACTTAGGTTCCTATTCTTTGGTCTCCCTGACTTCAACTTCTCTGCCATTTTTTGTGTTCTGTACACTTTTATGAACTCATCTTCTGTGTTCTATGTGGCTCCACTTCTCAGCTTAGCGTCTTCCTTTCTATCACACCTCATGCTTTCAGAATGTTCTTAAGGGCTTTTTGCATGACATTAAATGCTCCCCAAAATTTGTTCCAAATGTTTTTGTTAATTCCAAGTATTTCCCAAGGTGAGTTTTCTAAACATCTGAATGTTATTTTCTCCTGTCTGTCTTTATTCATGTATTCGTTCAGCCTTCAATGCCCCCTCAGATACTTCTTCTTCCAGGATGCTTTCCCTGATCATACCAATGAAAAATAACGTCCCAAAGGCAATTGGTTTGCATTATTCTGGTGATGGTTGTCACATTCTGATTCGTTTTACCAACATTTGCTATGTGTATCTTGTTTTATTTACTAGCTTGTAACTGTCTTAAGAATGGGAACAGTAACTTATCCACTTAGTCAAGTAAACAATCACTGAGCAATCACTGGGAAATGGATAAAAGGATAAAGAATTTTGTTTTTACTTCTGTGAATCCCTAGTAAAATCCATTTCCCTGTCTCTAGGCTTGATTGAGCTTATTCAGATGCTCATAAAAAGCAATTAATTGATAACAAACAAACCAAATATGGCTTAAGTATAAGATATATACAAACGAGAAACATTTCTAGCTAATTTTGTTATGGAAGCTTTGGGACTGAGTCAGTCAGGAGTCAAGAGATTTAAGATCTGACTGTGACTTCCAATCAAATTGTCAGGCTCAACCCAAGAAGAGCACAGCAAAGAAAAACAAGGTATTTCTTTGAGTAGAATAAATAAAAATTTTGCTTTTGTCTGAGTTATTTGGATGAAAGTGGAAGTTTGGAGTTTGCTTCTTGGTTTTGAATGAGTTATTTTATTTTAAAATGCTGACTGTAACTAAATAGTGTTCATAAGCAAAGTTTAAAAATTTTTGTGTGTGTTGAGATATGATCGACACATGATAAAATACACTTATTTAAAGCATACTATTTGATAAATTTTGATGAATGTCAACTTCCATGAAAACCATCCCTGCAATTAAGATAATGAATATATTCATCACTCTAAAAATTATAGACAGGTTTCTTAATTTAAAAATTCTTTTAAAATTATACAGTAAAATTGACCTTGTGTGTGTAGTTTTATTAATTCAAATACATGTATAGATTTATGTAATCAACACCATAATCATGATACAGATCATTTTCATCACCCCCCCCAAAAAAATCTGTCTTCACATATACCCCTTTCTCCACTGTTAACCTCTGGCAACCACTGATCTGTTCTCTCTCTGTAGATATGTCTTTTCTAGAATCTCATATGGAATCCTATAGCATGCATCCTTTAGAGATGGGCTTCTCTCACTCTACATAATGCCTTTGATGTTCATCCCAGTTGTGGCAAGTTATCAGTAGTTTGTTGTTTCCTCCTCCTGCTCCTCCTCCTCCCCCCTTCCCTTCCTACTCTTGCCCTCTCCTCCTCTTCTTCCTTTTCCTTTTCTTTCTCTTCTCCCTCCTTCTCCCCTTCTTTCTCTTTTTTTCCTTCTCTCCTGCTCCTCCTTCTTCTTCCTGAGTAGTATTCCATTGTCTACATCATTATCTATTCCCATTAAAGGACATTTGGGTTGTTCCTGGGTTTTTGATACCTATGAGTAGAGCTGGTGTGAACATTTGTGTGCAGATAGTTTCATTTTTTATATATATTATGTTATGCCTTGTTTCATGAATAATAATGGAATGATACCTAATTTTTTACTCTTCAAAAAGGGAGAGGTTCCAGATGAATTCTTAGAGAGATGCACAGGAGGAATCTCTTCTGCTCCATCTAAAAGACAAAATGGTTCAATCTGAGTTTCTCTACTCTTAGTTTCCAGATAACAAAGCTCTTTGGACAGAAGAAAGTCTCTTGGTACAAAACTGGAAAAATTCTCCATCAGTAGTGGACAGACCTGGAAAGAACTATTATGTGTTGCTGTGGGAATTTTGTAGTTCTTCAGAAATATAAATCTTGGATTTATTATTGATTCATCTATTCAATCATTAAATTTAATGACTGTATATTGAATACCTACTATGTGCCTAATACTGTTATAAAAATATTTTCTCCAAATTTTTATTATATAAGCATCTTATTAATATATTATTGAATTTTTTTTCCACAGGAGCCAACTTTACGGCTCGATCCAGGTCATTTGCTGTCTTGCCCATGATTAGGAAGGAGAAGTCAACCCTCATCCTGGCTGCTTCCCTGTGCTCTGTGGTCTCATGGCTGGCTCTGAGCTGTCTGGTGTGCTGTTGGTTTAAGAAAAGCAAAAGTAGAAGTACATGAATTTTTGTGTTTTTTGGATTGAAAATTTCTGGGGAAAAAAGGCCATCATGTATAATATATTCGTGCTTCTTTTTCTTCCCCCAAAGACAAATTTTGATGAGCTTCTACATAATATAAAACTACATGAAGGCAAATGGTTCAATTAACACAGTAGAGACAAGAATTGCCTCATCTTAAGTCATAATAGCAACAATAATACAAATCCATATTTATTGATTGCTCACTATACACTAGTTTCTAAGTACTTTAGATAAACTTATTTAACCCTCACAACAACCCAATGATGTCAGAAGTAAATATTATGCCAATATTATGGATGCAGAGAACAAGACACAGAAAGGATAAGTCGCTTGCCCAAGGTCACACAACCACAAAGAAGCCAGGCACTTTGGTTCCAGATCTCACTTTCTAAAACATTGACTTCACTGTCAGGTGACCCTCCACAAGTTGAATTAAAAAATCAGATGAAAATTTCCTCTTCAAAAGAGGGAAGATAGTTCTTAAAGCATAGAAATTAAGTGTGTTCTTAAACATTTCCCAGAAGCAGAATATCATTGTTATTTTTAGGCTGGAGATATGGAGTCACTGAGGGAAAGAGGTTTTGTAAATGAGGCTTTTTTCCTATCTTTCTACTTAGTTCTTGAAGTGGAGGAGAGAGGGGAGCAGATAAGGCACTGGCACTGGCAAATTTCTTACTCCGCCTATTTCTTATGCCCTAGACCATCAGATGAGTGGAGGAAACATTTATGATACTAGGAACTCCTACAAGACCAAAATTATAAGCAAGAATAAATTTAAAAAGAGAAAAAATGAGAACAGGCAAAGGGAAAAAGCCAGAATAAAAAAGGAGAGTGGAAGCAACATGATCCTGCTACTAGAACATTCACTGTGCTTGAATTTCTGAGAGATAATTGGGAAGAGAAGTTCCACTAAACACACACTCTGTATTTGAACCAAGCTTCAGCCTGGTGTCCCTGCCTCTCTCCCTGCCCTAGTAATCTGGGCTGGACAAATTACAGGGAAACCTCCCATCTTTCTCAAGAAGAGTGAGATCTCAACCTGACTCTGCCTTGAACTACAGTTTGAACTAAAGTTTGTTTCTAAAATTCTATCTACACTGTATGTGTGTGCATGTATGTGTGAGTGTGTGTGGATGTATGTGTAGTGCCTTTTGGTTTGTAAGCAGACTCATCATAATTTTTTATTGCATATGACCCTGTGAAATACGCGATTCAATTCTCATCCTCCATTTTATATCTAAAATTGCTCATCATACAGGGACTTCTCCAAAACTTTGCTAATGCCACATCTTCCCTTCTGGTCCCTTAGTTCTAGAGATACCTTCTTCCTCTTCCAGGAAGAAGTTAACTCTGTCTCTTTTTGCTTTTTCAACCTTTCAATATCTGTGGACACATTTTCCTGTATTAAATTCCCTATTTTCCTGATTGGGCACAGACTCCTAACTATGTTAAACAGAAAAATTGTAGAGATTAGAAGGAATTTTATAACAAAAATTTACAATGGTCACATTTATATAAGTGATTTGTATTTTCTTTATGTCTTCTGTATTTTATATTTTTCAAAATTCTAAAGTTAGTATACATTACTTTAGAATCACAAAAAGATATTTGTTCCACAGCTTCCTCTTAGAAGATGATTTTCTGGTTCTACAGTGTGTTCTGTGTCTACAGTTTTCAAAATTTTGATCTCAGGACCTTGTTATTTCTCAATAATTGTTGAAACTGAAAGAACTTTTGTCTACATGAGTTCTAGTCATCAGTATTTTCAAAATTAGGAATTAGAACATTTAAAACTTACTTATTCACTTATTTTTAAATAGTACTAATACACGTATGACGTAAACATATCATTTTTTATTTTAAAAATTGTCTTTTCAAAAATATATAGTGAAAAGAGTGGCATTTTTACAAACCTCTTTAGCGTTAGCCTTAATCGGCAGCTGGAATGTCTTAGCAGCTCCTGCATTCAATCTTTTGCAATGTATTATTTTGGCTGAAGTAGATGAAGATAATTCAGCTGCACACAGATATACAGCAGAAAGGGAAAGGGTATTTTAAGAGGCTTCACAGATAATTGTGGATATTCTGTGCCCTAACTTGATAATAAATAGTTGCTTAAAGTTCATCTAAATGTACTTTTTGTTCTTGTTACATGAAAATCCACTATATAGTCTGCACTTTGAATGGAGCTTTTACCCCTGCAAAATTTTGAAACATTATGCTTTTCCTATTTTGAAAATATTGTTCCACTGTGTTATGCAAATCTTCTCAATGTTGACTTATTTCATTCTACAACTCAAAACATCGCATTTGTTAATATCAACATGGATCTTTAAGAATTAGAAATCGTGAAGGCCATGGTAGTTTTGCAAGTATTCTGTTTCCCATGAAAGCTTGAATTTTATTACTGGCAACAAATACTGTTGTTTCTTTTGAAAAGCCCTCTTTATCTATTCCAAAAAAGAAAATCTTCTGAATACACAAGTATGAATAATTATAATTTCTCCCTCAATTATTCTTTCAAGTAAAAATAGTGTTTCATGAAAAATCAGCTCAAAACTCAATTGCAAAATTGCTTTTTTTTGAGAAAAATTATCATATATATTTTTTAATAAAATTAATTCTTTTTATTGTTTCATCAAAGTCGGTCTTAATTAAAACAGACTTTTTTCTTCCTTGCCTGTTGGTTTTTTGTTTTGTTTTATTGCAATTTTATCTCAGGGTATAACCTCCTTGATCACATTTATCCAAAAAGTATCTACTTCCTCCCCCATAACTATCTCCTTTTTCTGACATAGCACGGCATTACTTCATATTATATTACACATTTATTTGTTCCTCCTCTGTCATCCAAACTAGAATAAAAGCTCTATGAGGCTAGATATTCTATGCCTAGAACAGTGCCTGCCATGAGGAATATAAGTATACTTTTGATGAATGCATGCATTAACTAAGTGAATAATTAAGTGTCTCCCATGCTGGAGTGCAGTGGCACAATCAAAGCTCACTGCAGCCTGGACCTTCTGGGCTTACAAGATTCTTCTGCCTCAGCCTCCTGAGTAACTAACACTACAGGCACATGAAACCATGTCAGCTAATTTTTTGGATACTTTGTAGAGACGAAGTCTCACTTTGTTACCCAGACTGGTCTCAAATTCCTGGAACTCAAGCAATCTTCTCACCTCAGCCTCCCAAAGTGCTGAAATTATAAGCACGAGCCACTGTACCTGGCCTCCATTATTTCTTAACTTCTGAATATATTATACACATACTGTTGCATGTATATCACAATCACAGGTAGAGGGGATATACAAGAGAGACACCTTAACACTTAAGGCCCATTTACAAATAAAACAAACAAAAAAACTTATTTTTTTCCTATTCATACAGAAATAAAATCTGAAGAGACTTTGGAATCACAGATTAATGTTCAAAAGACTCATATCCACATCTCATCTAAACGCCAAGGATCAGAAGTAGGAACTGAAAAAGAAAATACTGTGGTGGCAGAAGGTGAGCTTGGATGATGGGGAAGAATCCCACAGGGAAGAGGTATGGTGAATGGACTGAGCCTCCCTCTCCCGCAGGCTGTAATTTTCTGAAGCAAGTTTGTTTATAGCCTCTTCTTTAGTTTGTTACTTTTCCCAAGGAAATTATACCCCAACACAGAAATATATAAGTCCAACTGATACACTCAGCTATTAACCAATTATTTGAATTGTGATTTATACATTTTTTTAAGAAGATTATTGATTAAAATTTGGGTTCATTACATAGAGAAAAGGGGCAACCAGAGTCTAGGCATATCATCTTTCCCTTAGCTATTGCAAAGCTGCCAATTTGGCAACATTATTGACTTTGGAAAAGAAGAGTGTATAGTTGCCAAATACCAACTATGCAAATTAGATTGAGTACAGAATCCTTTAAAAAATGAGTCAGCTTCGTTAATCTCTGCTTTGTTGTTTAGTTGTACTTTAGCAAAATGTATTATTTACCTACATGGTGCATTGTGCCAGATGACTTTACTAGTTATATTGTTAAATTGCCATTAGAATTAGTGCCAAGCAGAGAAAAGATAAACATTTGCTGGGGACCAATGTTTTGCCCTTGTCCTACTAAAAATGCTGAAAATAGGAAGACTGGGAAGAATACAAAATGGCTTTGCCAAGTCTGGATACAATATATGAAAACTATTCATGTAATTTCCATGGGATCTGAAATATTTTAAAACAAATGTTCTAAGAAGAATATTTCTAATTTTCTAAGTAAGACTCAATTATCATATTTTCTGCTTGAAAAGAAATACCATGCACTGGTTCTGAGTGCATGTTGAACCAAAAAAATAGCAGTCTGATATTGCTCTGTCTATATGTAGTCAAGTGAGCTCTTGTGTGTGTGTGTGTGTGTGTGTGTGTGTACATGTGGATGTATCAGTTTGTCTGTATATTTTCCCATGAAGAAAATAAAGTTAAAAATAACAACAACAGCAACACATTAGCCAGTCATACTCCATTCAGCCCCTGAACTTGCACCAAAAGATGGTAGTGGGTGTGGGTCAAAGTGGAGATATGGGTGGTAATGAAATGAACAGAGACAGAGTGGGGAACGGAATTCTTTCTAGATTCCATCCATGACCCTTTTAATTTTGTTCTTTCAGAAGTTTCTCTTATCCATATTATTGCAGGTGAACTCAGTTACAGGTGTTTGAAAACTGCTGTCTGAACCTAGCTCTTCATACCCAGCTACCTTCTTCAGCAAACGGCAGGAGTGGTGCTAATCTCTCCCCTAATCTAATATGGCTGTCTACATGAATCTCAGTTGCCCCATTTAAATTAACTACATTAAGCAGTCCACAGTGCCTGGGTGTTTTATTAAGGAACATTTTTTATGTGGTGGCTTATTAATAAATTATTAGGAATGAGACAAGGGACAGGGCTCCTGTGGAAGAGTTTCTTAGATTGAAGAGATGGGAGCATCAAAGAGGCCATTTTATTAGGACATCCAAGTTAAAAATAGAAAGATGTGTTATCCAAATCCTCCCCTGGGGATCATAACGGATTTGTTTCCTTATCTTCTAAGCTTTGTACAAATCTTAAGAGCATCATTTGGAAGGCAAGTAATAAGACATCTCCTGCTTTTCTTTGGAAATTATTACCAGCTACAAACCACCTAATTATTGCTAGCCTTAAATAAATTTAGCTTTATTCTGCTGTTTCCATGACAGTTTAGTTTCCCTTTTCCCTCTGTATTTTTAAACTTTCTGCACTTGCTGATAAAATGATTGGCTGTCTCTTCTCCACTTTGCCTTCACTGAGTACGACCTTGGCACTTAAGATGATTGAGCTGGCGGAATTGTATGTTTCTTCTAGATTCACATTGTCAACTCATCATGGTACAGTTTTTACCAAAATTGCATAGACACAGTGAAGGTGCGAGAAAGTTGTGATAGGAGAAGACTGGAGTAAAGTTTATATCCCTCCTATTTTACTGTTGCCAGGGTTTTTGACATACAGAGTCATCTAAGCCAGCTTTGAAAATTCTTAAATTCTCATGTCACTCTGCTACCCGTAAGATTTAATGAGTTCCAGTCAGTTGGAGAGGCAGGAGAATGTGACAGTTAGAAGCATGAAACCCAGAAGTCCTACAGACTGGAGTGAAATGTGACTCCCTGTTGACTGACTTTGTGTCCTCAAACAAGACAACTAACCTCACTGTGCCTTTCTGTTTCCTCATTGGTAAAATTGCCCTAATAATACTGCCCGCACGTATAGTTGTTAAGCAGATACGTGAATTAATATCAGTAAAGAGTGCAGAATAAATCCTAGCATATTGTGTGTGCTATATGTGTGTTAGTTTTTTTTTAGTAAGTGTGCTTTTAATTGTTGTTTTTAGTCATTATTTCAGATTCAAAGCCCTCTAAGACTTGACTGTACTCAATCTTTCTAATTTTGAGTTTCACACTCATGTCCCCATGGATGCTCACACACCAGCATACTCATCCCAGGACTAGTCTAACATCTTCCTGCTCATTTATTATATAGTTTCTTTCTTTTGGGTGGTTTGTCTCCACCTGTTAAAACCTGCTCAAGCTCAAGCACTCATTGAAGTGAATTTTTCTTCAGAATGTTCACAACACAAACAAATGATAAATGTTTGAGTTGCTGAACATGATCATTATTCAAATTTGATGATTCCACATGTATTGAAACAGCACTCTGTATCCCATAAATATGAATAATTATTATGGGTCAACTAAATTTAAAAAAAAAAACTGTCCTCAACCATTCTCTCCTCAATCAAAATGAGTATTTTCCTCACTTGATTAAAAAAATACTGAATGTGTCACCCCATAATAGCATGTGTGGTCTTTGGAATTCATTGTCTAGATGACTTTCTGTTTCCTTAGGCCTGTGGCTGTCAACCAGAACAATTTGGTCCCCTGCACAGAGTGGTTTTCCTGATTTACCCTGAACTGTCCCAGTTTTTAAAACTGAAAGTCTTATGTCCCAAGAATTTCCTCAGTCTCAGACAAATTGGAACATTTGATCACCCTGCCTTCAGAGGGCATTTGTAATGTCTGGAAACCATTTTGTTGCCACAACTTGGGAGAGGGAGAGCACTACTGGCATCTTGTGTATAAAGATCTGGGATGCTCTAAACATCTTACAATGCACAAGACCACCCACTCGGAAAAGATGAGCTAGCTCAAAATGTCAATAACTCTAAGGATGAGAAACTCTGGCAGAAGCTATTACTCATTTTTCTAACATTTAGGTGAGAGCCAGCAGAAATGACAATGAATGCAATTAGATTTTATCTTCCAGTGAAATAAATAAATAAGTGCTTATTTATTTATCCCCTGATGTTTATTTAGTATGTTATAAGGTTCTTGCTGTGTAGCTACAAAGAGTTGATATCTGATCCTTCATGGATTTTCAATATGGCTGGGACACAAGAATAATATTTGGGTGAAAATTAGAGAATGACTCCAGGTAACAAACAATTAAGTGTAAAGTGATCACAACAGTGTGTATTTAAGAATTTAAATATGAGAAAAAATGCTAAAGGAGAGAAAAATATCATTGTCTAAGTTACATATTTTGTCCCGGTGACTTCTAAATCATGTCACACTCTTTCAGAACCCATTTGCTAAGGGCTTGGGTGTCCAGTACACAAGAACTCAGGTCATAGAAATTCCAGGGAAGGAGCTCTGCTTTCTCTGTTAAAGCTCAGTTTTGCATCACATCTTCTCAGCTGTTCCCTTGATCCCCTAAATTGGCTAATATCTCCCAAATCTTCCAGATTAGACACCTCAGAGTTTTCATTAACTCCTAGTTCTCTTTCCCCCCATCTCGTCCTCTTACTTGCCAAGTTTTACTTTTTACTTCTTCAACATCTTTGTTTTGTTATCTCCCCCTCACACTTCTCTTCACAGTTATGCCTTCAGTTCAGGCTTATCGAATGCACTCCTTTTAGGTGGCTACTCCTCCACTCCCTATGTCTTTCCCTCCAAGACAGTATTCCTCATACTCAGCCTAGGCCTTCCCATATCAAAATGCCCCTCTCTAGTATATCCACATTTCCAAAATCTCCCATTCATTACAATCCAGATCAAATACTTTTTCTCTTTTTCAAATTTTGTTATCTGGAAGTTCCCTTCTCTCAACTTTATAACACTTCTGTCTTGTTCCCATAATGCCCTTTATATGTAATATAATTATTTGTGTTCATGGTATCCAGATCCTTGGGTATAAATTCTGCATCTTTTATAATCCTAGTAGCACTTTCACCATGGGGATTTAGGAGATTTGACCACTGATAACTATTACTGAGCAACGAATGAAAACAGAGATGAAATGAGTCCCCCTTCTTTCCTTTGATCCTTTCCAGAGGTCCCTAGATTCCAGCAGTTCTTACAACAGCTGAAAAAAAAAGAAACCTACATCGTCTAATAGACATGTCAATATTTTATCCAGGTCCACAGAGTTAACAACAGGGTGATAACTGTACATAATCTGGATCCTCACAACGGGCAAAATGTGCCTTCTTGCTTCCAGGCAATGCTTTCTGCGGGCCACTATAGCTTCCTCTTCCGGTTTCCCTGCTCCACCTCTGTCTTTGCAGAGCAGCCACTGCTGCAAACCTCAGAGCTGCCTTCTCCGAGTCACGTACTGATCTTTGTCCACTGTCCACTTTTCTTTGTGAAACTGTGCACTGAATGTTGGAAATGGAAAACTGAACTGTAAAATAATCTGGCTACCATGCATGTGTAATTATGATCACCCACTTCAAGGATGTCTTTTCCCTACCACTTTAGAGAACTGTTGACTGTGTATTGTTGGTTTTGTGATTGTAAAATTAAAAGGAGTATCAATTTACCTTTTGTAAGTACAATTCTATAAGGATGACAGGGAGAGGGATGATCTCCAGTTGTCTGGAAGCAGAGAAGAACAAAACAGCTGAGGACTAGAAAATGTCTCAAGTTCCCAGGAATAAAACTACATTTGTGTTTG